AGCATAACAAACAATTTTTAAAGGTATAAAACAGAAGACTTGAGATTTGAAGTAATAGAAATGAAAGAATGAAAATCAAAAAATTTATCCCAATTCTCCAATTAGGAAGAGATAAGAACGAGACAAGAGTAACAGAGGCATTTAATAAAAGTATACAGAAAACAAGAGGGTTAAAGTAATTAAAATTTCAAATAATATGAGATGACAGACAAGAATAACAAAAGCATTTAGTAAAAGCATGCAGACAACGAGAAGGTTAGAGTAATTAATTGAAATTTCAAATAACTATAAGTCAAAGGAAATTTGAAATTATAAAAAATATAATACAACATTGATTTGGATTTAGATCAAATACAAATATATAGACTTTTATGTATATTTAAATGAGAGATTCAGTTTAAATTCAAATCATTATACATCAAAATGAAAATATATAAGTAAGCATTTTAAAATCCAACTTGATAAAAAAAATCTTAGTGATAAATTTAAGGGGAATTCTAGATTCAATAAGTTAATCTCATTAAATTCAATTTAAAAAAATATACACTTTTAAAATAAATAATAAATTTTTTTTACAAAAACTGTGGCACAAATTTAAGGTACTCTTCCACCATTCAAGAAAATAATTTTTTTGCCAGCTATATATATATTTGGGAGAATTTTAGTTAAGGACAACAGTGGAGACTTAATTTCAAGTGGGTCTAAAAAAATTTTAATTCAGTCCAAAGGAGAAAAATTAAAAAAATTTTGATGGTGAAAAGATCAAAATGCTCCTAATTTTTTATGCAGAATTACTAGTTGTTAATTTTCTTACTCCACTTGTCAATTTATGAATATTAGTTGCAAATTATATGAATTGACATGTCAATAATTATATAAGACTTGACATCAGTTTTTCAATCATAAGCAGTAGTATTAGTTGTTAAATTGCTAATTTTACTTGTTAATTTACTAACATCAGTTGTAAATTACTAACAAGTCTTGTAATTTATTAATATTAATTATAAATTATTGACAAGTTTTGTAATTTACAATTGATGTTAGTAAACTAACAAGTAAAGTTAACAAATTAATAATTAATGTTACTGATTATTTGACAAACGGATATAATTTACAAGTGATATTGATAAATTAACAATTACAGTAAAAAAATTAACAACTAATAATTTTACATGATAAGTGATGGGTATTTTGATCTTTTCACCATCAAATTTTTTTTAACTTTTTTTTTTAAATTGAACTAAAATTTTAAATTTTTTTAGACCACTTGAAATTAAATCTCTACTGTAGTCATTAATTAAAATTCTCTCAATGTATTTGACCAACACAGCTATTGAATGATGGATTCAAATTGGAGCAAGATGAGGCCTTGAATGATTGGATACATTTTTTCCTGCCAAATATTTTATGTGCCTTTTGCTTTTCATTTCATTTTACAATATCCTTAAATTATGCTCCACACTTCATTTGCCGCCCATCAAAAGACAATCCAAGCTTTACACGTGCAGGATCATTTTGAATATTCATTAAGCCTAAGGTCTGAAAAGAGGTTAGCTCCAGAGAAGCTATTTTTGTCCCGTTGCATACTTAAATTAAAGTGCACATCCTAACTATATATAGAAAATGTAACAGTAACAATGCCACCAATAAAGCAAACTTTGGTGACAACATTTGTCTGGCGTTCCTTTCTTTTACCCACAAGTGGTTCAAATTTGTCTCTTTCCGGCCTACCACCCTTACTTTACATCAATAAAGATTTTCCCACTTTGATTAAAAAAGAATAAGAAAGAAATTTATTTTTCCAAGAGTAAATCCATTTTTCTAATAATTCAATGAAGGTGCTCACTGAATTAACCATCATGTCCAAATTATACGAGCTAGTTAACTAATTCAAATAAATTAAAAAAATAAATAACTTAGTTATTTGTAAAAAAAAAAAAGAGTTGATTTCCTTAAAATACCTTTCTTTTTAATCATATATATTTGCACAATTTCACTTCATAATACAAGAATCTAATTATAGGGATAGTTTCAGGAAAAAAAAAATAAATGAAGGAGGGACAAAAAAATTGAGGTGTTATACTTAGAAGTCAGAACCAAAACAAACCCTTTCAACTAGCTCATATGTTTACGACCGGAGGGAGCAATAATTAAGTTGCTAGCCATGTATAATTACACATCTGCAAGCTAGCTAGCTTGATACATGATATATCAAAGGATAGGGTGAAAATCTTGTGGATAATGTGTAAAGTGAAATGTATTCTTCCTTTATAAAAAGTATACTTAGGGAACAAAACCAAGTCTCGGTTAATGTAAAAGTTGGCCCAAAAGAAAAAAAATTGTAGAAGACAATATATAATCTACTATTTTGAAGAGTATCCTGCTGGTTTATGATGATAAGCTAAGTCATATGGTCATATTTGTTTGTGTGTGTATATACAATGTTTGATCAACCGACACTATTAATTATGATCTACGTATGCAGTTTTGAAGATGAATAACATCATCAATCAAGTGTCTATAAGCATTTCTTGCTTTTTCTTTGTGTGTGGGACGGAATCATTTGAATTCATAGTGGCTTGGATTGACATCATTTCATTTCATGTGACATAAGAAAACGTAACATGATTGCTATCTTATTTTGGACCACAAGAGGTCCACAATCCCGTCACTTCACCGGGACCTTACCATAATATCCCATCATAATGTCACCCAAAAAAAACAAAAGATGAAAGATAAAATATACTATTTTACTATTTACTTAATAATTTAATACGATTAGATTAGAATTTAAAAGATATAGGTAATAATTCTCACAATATTATAACATAAAAAATACTAACAATGATTTCTTGAATGTTATGGGCTGAAAAAATCAAGTTAAAAAATTATACTTAATTAGATCTTACAATACTGAAATCTGACTCAGTAATATTAAAAGGCAAATATTTTCATGAAAAAAGAAACAGAATGAAATCTAAAAAAGAGAGGATGAAGGAAGCCAGGAATTTGCTTTATTTTGCTGAGAAATGGTCCTCTATTGCAAACGCGCCAACCATGCTTTAAAAAAAAATTAAGAAAAGAAAAAAGAAAAAAAATTATGGTTAAACATTATCTCATGGTTCTCTATAACATATTTGGAAGCCATCCATTTCAAGAATAACTTTCTCATGGTCCTCAAGTACAGGCAGGACATGCTGTTAAAAATAAAAAGAATGGACCGCTGTGATTTAATTTGAATATAAGTATACGTTTGGTCTTATGTTTAAAAAACTTAAACACACGTTTAATCCAATCCATTATTAATCATCTTTTTCATTAGGCTGTATTAATAACATTCGTGATCCCAATAAAACAAACACATCCAATTTCCTCCATTGTAATATCGGTCACATATCCATACAAGAAGAATACCTGAATATGTGATCTCATATAGGATTCATTTGCTTTGCTCGCGGTTTATTGACCAGTGCGTACTGTGTAAACTTTGTGAATGAGTTTGCCTCCAATGGAGAGACCTACTAATTGTTTAATCTTAAGGGTAAATATGGAAGAAGTTAAGTCATCAATGCTTTGGCTTAACATGTGTTCTTGGAACTGAAACAGTTAAAAAAAAATTGGGATCTGCAATATGAGTTTATGACTTATTCTTCAATTAATTGTACATCAGATAACAAGTGTGACCAAGAAGCTAAGCAGATCTTACTATTAGTTGCATGCAAGCTGATGCAGCCCTTGTGGCACAATATCAATTGCATCTATTCCTATGTGGAAAACAGAAAGTGCAAGCACGGAAGGGAAAAAGATTAGATGGTCGATATGATTCATTTCTCAAGCTAAGCCGCCTCCTGCATTAATAATATTAAACCAGAACCAGAGCAAGCAGGCATTCTGTTTTCTACCATACCATGATCAATTTGTTTCCTATGTTGATGCTAACTTAATGAAGCGCAGGCACTTTTTAAAAGAACTAAATCTGTGTTACATGATGTAATTGCGTAAATTGATAATAGATACTTCAAATCTTGTCATGCTCCAATATAGGCCTATGAGAATTTTAATTCCATAAACTAGCTATCAATGTACAAATGGGGGTGTCTTTCTTTTTCAGTGACCATCATCTCTCGGGAAGAGATAGCTAGAGGATTCCAACAAGAGTTTGAAATAAAGCTTGAGATTCTTAAATCAAAGTGGTAAGCTTCAAGAGCACTGAAACACTGGCATTCATGGGTATATCAGATAATCTGGAATCAATCTTTCATCAGAATGAAGAAGATCTAAGCATCTAGACATACTTTTAAAAAGTAGTAATCAAAGAAAATGCATTTTATAGAAGGTGAGGCCCTACCACATGATTGGCCAAAGAAGAACATGAAGTTGTGGACGATCCTTCATCATAGAAAAAACATCTTTCATTTTGTTTTTCTTTTTTGGGAAGAACTCACAGTATATGTTCTCTGAGGCCCTAATGTCCAATTAACATCTAAAAAATATACCAGTGACTTTTAGAACGATTATAAATGCATAGCATCATAGATATGGAATGTACTCATACAATGTTTTTTGTTCTCTCTTCCTCTTCCATTGGTTCAGCTTTCTTGGAAGAGTGAGTATTGGGTTAGGGTCAGGTAATCTGCATCCTGAGGTTTAGAACAAAACTGTATCTAGCCCTCAGGATGCAGATTACCTTTACCTGGACAACAATTTACAACTTTTAAATATATTTTGTTAAAGCTAACGTTCTTTGTAATTTGAATTGCATACTCTGTAGCTGTATTGGTTTGTATTGCCACTTCCCTTGGTGCTCTTCTGAGGTGATTGGCTCTTATTGCTGCAAAGAATACAATACTTTCGAGCTACGAAACCAACTGACAAAATTATATGCATAGCTTTTAAATAAAATTTGAGGTATTTTATTGTGTCCAACACTCATATCCAGCACAACATGCCTCCATTTTTTCCCCCTAAGAACGAGTATCATGTAGTTTATAGATTGTGCATCTATGAATTACTATTTGCTGTATCTATGACATTTAACAAAAGGGTTTTGTCAAGATTGGTACTGGCAATACAATGTTCTTGGGAGCATTAGACACGATATTGCACTCCTGTTTAGTGTTCAGAAAATATGTAGACACAGGAATAATGGATAAATATTCTATTCATGACAGGTAAATTAGAGATGATTAATCAGATGACTTTATTATGATAGTGTGATAAGCCTTAATGACTAATTATTTATATCAATCAATGTTTTCGGCCTTCTGCTGCACTCCAATTGCTTCTTCTCTGCTTTCACTGAAATCCGTCCCATCCTTGAATATCAGAAACTCCATCATCTCCACACGGAAGAATATGAAACTTCCACATAAATGTGTAATGCAAGAACCAAAGTCTTTTCCTACTACTGAATTCCAAGCAGGTCCATATGCTTCATCAAGTTTCTGTCCAGCAAGTTAGTAATCTGAGATTTTTTTTTTTTTTTTCCAGCATGAAAAAGTAGTAAGAAACAGCACGCTTTAAAGCACGAGGCTTTCAAGTTTCGGTAACATGCCTAGTTTTGCATATCAACTAAACCATAGGCATAAATATAGCAGTTCTAGATAAAGAGTGACAGATTTTGATTCAAGATGCTCGAAGTTAAGCATGCCTTGCAACAACAACAAAACCCAGCAAAACAAAAAATGTTAACAAGAAATATGGTAATCAGACCCTCCTCCATTTTGCATGCTATATTTATGTAACACCTTGCCCTTCATAATAACCAGACAAGTAATAAATAGACAGAAATATTTTAATCCAAGTATATTAAGTCATAAGGTATCTTTTAATCATAGTTTGAAACTATTTAATTAAGTCTTTTTTTTTTATAGAAGAACGATTTTTTTTTTTTTTAATGTTTGCCTTGACTGTATCAAATGTTTTGGATGGTAAGTCTTAAAAAGTAAAATTCTTGGGAGCTTAAGGGGGAGAGGAAGCCACCGCAAAGTAGTCGAGAGATATTCTTTTCTATTACTTTTGAAGCAACGGGTAACTTTGTATTTTGCTTCAGTCTTCTCGTGAACTTTTCTTTTGCAATCTACATGATAGATAGAATTGAACCATGCTTAATCATGAAAGTCTTGCTTGTCAAAAAGCAGAGATTGGAAAGTCTAGAGGAAAGACATGGAATATGATACTCTCTTATATTAAACCATTTTGCTCTCCGTAAGTACAGCAAATATCAGATCCAGTATTACATTTGCTAGTTATTACAAGCAGAATGAAGTAACGCTCAGCAGCAATTCTTTTTCCCACTCTCCTGATAGATAAAATTCATCTTTTTCCTTGTCCCACCATCTAGACTTTTGTTCCAGTCGAAAGGCAAAAACAAATAATAAAATGCAGGGTAAATAATTGTTTCTTTGCAATGTCCATATTACATGAATGTCTTCTTTTTTTTTCAAAAAAAAAATAAAGAATCTCTTCTTCTTTTTTTAAAAAAGCAAAATTATACTCTTCATCTGAAATCAAACCACATGTTACATCAACTTCTTATTCACAAAAAGAAAGTTACATTGATATTTATTTTGATCAAAATATTCTCATTTTTTAATTGTATAAAGTAACAAGTACAAAATATATATTTGACCAATATAATAGTTTATTTTTTGAAAATTTTAGAATAAATTAAATTTACAGTTTTCAAGTCAAAATAAAGTAAATGAAAATAAAAGTTCAAGAAATAGGCTATCTAAATAATTGAACTGAAAATAATAAGAGGCAGCTTGGGCTCCATCAGAATATTATCTCCATCAACGTGACTGACAGTTAGATGGCAATTAACAAATTTACAGTATTCATCAACGCTATTGAAATATGTTCTCTTCTAACACATATTAGTTTATGAGTTATAAATTGGAAGACGTTTATTGGTGGGATGGAAGAACAGATCGGTTTGATGAAATAAGCAATACATTGACAATCAGATATTTTTGAAAGACAAAAAAGAATAAAGAAAAGTATAAATTGTATTGTTCAAGATCTTCATAGTTCTGATCCAGCAACACTTTTTGTGACTAAAAGCATAAGCCAATTAACACAACTCAAAGCATTTAATACAAAATAGTCAAGAACAGACCTGTTTGATATAATAGGCAACGGATTGGCAATCATTGACTTCATGGGCGTCGAGAGCTTGGTAAGCTAACTCCATAACATGGTTCTGAACCACTTCTGGCATGTCTGTCTCACGCACCACAGCTTTTCCCTCCAACATCTTCAGGGGCAATGAGGTCTGTTCACTGTGGCAATATCACAAGCACTTTAAAGCCATATATGGTTAATTGGTTGGTAGCTACATCTTATATGAGCCGTAAACTGCAAACTAGAAGAACATTTTGCTTACATAAGCGAAGACTTTGGTGGTAGAGGTTTTGAGAACCAATTGGATATTTTTTTCCATTCAAGTTGTCCTCTTCCTTCTATCTTTTATTTTGGTCTCAAAAGGAGTCTCTATTTTTCTGATTTATTTCCACATGGAAAATGAAACTCAGTCCATATCAAGAGATGTCACAATACAAAACAGTTGTCATAAAAATATCTTCTCTGGGTGCGGTTGTTTCCTTCCATAAATATCAGCTCTCGAAGTCCAAACCTCGGAAAAATTTACCCAGATAGACATTAGACTAACTTATAAAGTGAAATAGCAGGTCAACATTGCAATATAAAATCAATTCTTTTGGGAAGTACACTAAGAATCAAAATTCATAATACAATATATTATCCCATGAGAATATTGAGATACAGGTCACGCACGATCAGTATTGTAATAACCACTAACTAGAATAAAAAAAAATCTGACATCTGAAACAATTCTTAATTATTTTTGACTAACAGGAGAATAGATCTTCTACAGCCAAGGCTCTTGACGACTATTTTCCTAGTTCTTCACACAAAACGTGGACACATTCACTTGTGGCAGAGGGATCATTTCGCTATAGGCGCAGCAGATTCCACGTGGAGAATACCTGCTATAAACGTCCAGAGATCTTCCCGCCGGCTATAAAATGGAGTTCAGATTCTCTCAATGGAAAAATTAATGCCTATAAAACAAATTCTTATAGTTTAAATTTTTATTTAGAGCAAATGTTCATTCTTAAAAATTTGAAGTCAACGTCTATCTGTTTTAATGAATTTTAGTCATATTATATAAATTACCCATCAATAAGAGTAGGATTTGAATGCAGTTCCCTGTTAATTGTATCAATCTTGTATAGCACAAATTGTGTACTCCATTCAGTCCTCAAGCACATTCTAATTTTTTTTTTATCATTAATATAAGACACTTGACAGAATATTAATTATATTTTTAAATTTTACTCATTTAAATTTATTAATTATAAGAGAAAATTTTGAAAAATTTTCTCTTAAATAAGAGTAAAATTGAAATTGAAAGTTTATTCTATGTTCAGAAAAATTTAATAATTGATTCCTATAAGGTAATTAAAAGTATCTTATAATAGGGACAAGGAAAAGTAATTCATAATATTATTTATAATACCAATCCTTTATCTATCCTTTCTAGTTTCTTGGCTTCAATATTTATATTCGGCCAAAAAAAAATGGCTCCAAGATTTATCAATGAATCTGTGGTGAATGAAGAAAAAAAAAATCCATGTGAACAACGCCCATAGAATAGAGGTTGTAGCTTTATTAATGTTCCCAGCTCAGGTATGCTAGTGAAGGCTCACTAATTCAAATCTAACGGTTAAATTAAATAGGGCATCTGAAATTCTGAAGAACAAGATAAAATTACAGCTATTGCACTCCACTCCACCTAGCCCAGTCAACAAACTGCATGCCACCATAGACATTGTTGGCAAATCTCACCCCAACCGTGAATGCCAAAGCAACTGGGGGAACCTTCTTTGACATCGGAGATGCTTCCACTATACGCTCCAATCCATTAACAATCTGATACCTGGCATTCGAAGAAACACCGAGAAACACACCTGCAAGTTCAGGCAGTAAAAAGAAAGTGTCAGATTCGATTCTAAAACATGACCAAGTAATGATTAATAAAATACCTAGTAGCAGTTCTGAAAACATAAAAAATGAGCATGACTAGAAATCCTTGAGATGCCTGTCTAAAAAGGCTGTACTATTTGATAAAGAAAAGGCAGAATGACAGATAGGCCCTAAAGGGACCAATTAATTCAAATTAAGTCTCAAATGCCAAACTTCAGGAATTTGTAGGTTGAGCTCTCAATTTTGCAATTTCATTGTGATGAATTTGCAACTTATATTCCAAATTTTAATACGAAAAATAAATTTATTTATTCTTCAACCATGTTAAAATTTAAAAAACAAATTGTAAATTCATCACAACGAAATTACAAAATTAAGGGCTAAATTTGCAAATTCCCAGAATTTGACACTTGGGACTTAATTTGAATCAATTGGTCCCTTTGGAACCTATTTGTCATTCTCCCTAAAGAAAATTAAGGCTTGTACGTGTTGCAGTTCAATTTTGCAGATTCAGGAACATTGCACCAGGGAGGGGAAGTTAGATAGCATGGGTAATCAATTTGTATACTGATATGAATCAATGTGATTTCATTCTGGACTCAAAAATATTCCAGAAATAAAATGTTATGTGCATTTTTCATCTTCTCCTTGTGCCATCTTCATCAATCTAAGCTAACGCATTTGCCATTTTCCCAGTCATTCCATGGCATCATGGCCTCTTCTAAATCTCTATATGGACATTTGGGATCCATATAAAGCTCAAACACACGCTGGCCATAGATATATTTTGTCCATCGCAGATGATCATTACCAGACAGTAAGGTTATTTCTAATGAAACAAGAGTGAGACATTTAGCCGTATTAAACACTTCCTCGCCTATGTTGGCACTCGATTTCCAAAGCTGGTGCAGAGAGAAACGACAAAGGGGCAGGGTTCTTTTCTCATGAATTCAAGGAGTTTCCAGCTCAAAAGGGTAATGTTCATGAGAGTTCTTTCCTCACACAACACAACACAACACAACAGAATGGAGTGATGGAAAGGAAGCATCAATGCTTGTCAGAGGTGACTAAACCTTTAGTATTAGAAGCTAGAGTTCCAGTCCAATCTTGAGTGAAAGCTGCAGCATACCTAATCAATAGAACTACTACCAAGTAGTTGAATTACAAGATACCATACGAAGCCATTTATCATAGTCTTCCTTTATCAATCATTTGACAGCATCGGCTATCCAGCTAATGAGGAAACTCCGCAGTAACCTGATAAATTGGCTTCAAGAGCAATCCCTTTTGTTCTTATCGGATATTCTACAATACAGATGGGATATATATTGTATGATAGATGCACCAAGAGGTTCCTGATCATCAGAGATGTTGTGTTTCATGATCAATCATTTCCATTTGCATCAGATCATCCTCAACAGCAGCAGCAGCATAATGAGAATTTTACATCAGTATTTGATTTTCACGTAGATGACCCAACAGATTCGTCTATTTGACCATCATCATCAACTGGAGTGCTTCAATGGGTTCAGGAACATGTTCAAGACAGGGAAAAGTCATGACTCATCAGAGGACCTTCCTTCTGTTCATGATTCATCCACCGGTGTACCTGATTCATCTACTGTTTTTTTGGTTGTTAAAATTTGAGCTACTAGACAAGCATAGACCACCAGTATGGAGCAAGACTGCATTTAGCCAACTATCAATCAGGCTGAGTCTTCTATTGGTGCACGGCATCATAATTTGCATCCCACTAGTAATCATGTATCTTATTGGAATATTTCTGATTCATCGATGTTTTTTGTCTGCTATAAATTCAGTACCTGAGCCTCAAGTCCTTCAAAGAAGTAGCAACACATCCTGAGTGGATTGAAACCATCAAAGCTGAGATAGCAGCATTAGAATCTGATCATAAATGGGATGTAGTGACATTGCCACCAGGCAAGATTCTCATAGAAGTAAATGGGTCTACTAAGCAAAGTATAGAGGTAAGGGGTCAATTGAAAGGTACAAGACTCACCTAATTGCAAAGAGATACAGCAAAAGAAGGGAATTGACTACCGTAAGACCTTTTCACCAGTAGTCAAAACGGCAACTGTTAGGGCAGTGATAGCTCTTGCTGCAGTTTATGATTGGAATATCATACAGATAGATGCCTACATTTCTTTCTTACAAGGAGATTTATTTGAGCTGTACATACAACTTCCACAAGGATTTGATAGCAAAGGGGAGGACAAGGCATGTGGTCTAAACAAATCCTTGTGTGGATAAAAGCTAGCATCAAGACAGTGTAATTTCGAGTTGACAGAAGCATTGAATAAGTCCGGATTTCAGGAAAGTAAATCTGATTATTCATTGTTACCACGAAGGGAAAAGGGGAGCTTTACAATGATATCAGCATATGTAGATGATATTCTAATTACATGGGATAGTTGGGAATCAATTAGAGAAACGCAAGCCATGCCGCTTCAACATTTCAAGATCAAGGACTTAGTCAAACTGAAATGTCTCTTGGAATTGAATTAGCACTATCAAAAAAAGGGATTGTCATGAGTCGAAAAAAATATGCTCTAGACTTGATAGAAGATATTGGATTACAAGGAATGAAACAAAGGGGAGTGCCATTGGATCCAAATATTTAATTGACCGCATCAGATAAAGATCAAGAAGATTCTTTATTGCAAGCTGGAGAGAAAGAGCAGTATAGAAGATTAATAAAAGAAAGCTTATATACTTAACAATGACTAGGCCATATATTATTAGCTTTCCAGTTCAGGCTTTGAGCCAATTTATGAATTCACCAAAGCAATCTCATATGGAAGTTGCGTTAAGGGTGGTAAGATATCTGAAAAGTAGTCCTGGATTGGGTTTGCTCACATCTTCATCAAGCAAATTAAACTAGAAGTGCTGATTTGGGCATCATGTGCAACCACTAGAAGATCAAAGAGTGAATATTTAGTCAAGTTAGGGGATTCCTTGATCTCTTGGAAGCCAAAGAACAGATTATCTAAGCAGAGTTTCAAGGTCTTTTGCTGAGGCTAAGAACACATCAACGAGTTTCGCTACTGCTGAGTTAAATATGGTTGCTTGGTTTACTTGGAGATATGGGTATTAAAAATCTGGAATTAGTGGATTTATTCTGTGACAGCAAGGTTCCTATGTACATTGCCATTAATCCTGTGTACCATGAGAGAAGAAAGAGCATATAATTGATTGCCACTTTATAAGGGAGAAGGTGCAGAAGCGGCTTATCAGAACCAATCATGTCAGAACTAAAGATCAGCTTGCAGACATGTTGACGAAAGCTTGAGGAAGGTTGCATGTTTTATTGTCCAAGTTGGGAGTCATGGACTTGTATGATCCCAACTTTAAGGGGAGTGTTAACTATAGTTAGTCAAATTAGTTAGAAGGTGATGGGTACTTAAGTGGGGTGGGGTACCAATACCAAAACCTAGCTATTGAGGTAGAATAACTAACCTAGTTAAATAACCCATTAAGCATCTCACATTACTCAATGTGTGACTTAGTATCCTATACTACCAAGTCTCCATCAATTGGTGCCCTATGGAAAGCTAACATCTCAACAAACACACTCTGCAACACTTAACTCAGTCTCTTGCCGATCAAAACCCTCCATAGGTAAACCTCTTCAGAATTGCCAACAACTTGACCCTAGTACCAATTGATGAATACCCAAATAGGATGAGGAATCCAAACCTAAAAGCTAGCTATTGAGGTGGGATAACCAATCCACTTAAATACCATTATACATCATATACTACTCAATGTGAGACTTAATATCTCATACTCCTAAGTCTCTATCACACCATCAAAAGGTTATAACTAATATGCGTATATAAGTGAGATCAATTACTTGGTGCCAGTGTCAATGATCAATATAATATCACTCTTTCATACCATCACAGCAACAACACATGCTTCAGCTGTAGCTGAACTTGACAATTTATGGACAGTATTATGCTGGGTCTTTTTCAATTTAATTCACACTAAAATAGTTTTGAAAGGCTGTATATGGCTATTACAAATTTCTTCATGTAACATGTACACAACAACAAAATTGATTGCACAGGTAGAAGAGTCAGATCTCTCAAGAAAGCATGTAGAAAATCCTTCAAATATTCACCAAAGAAACTAGTAGAAAAGCACTTTTCAATAGTGAATAGAAACAAAGGTGGTTTTTTAATTGTATAGAGGAAATGAGCTTGAACACGTTTGACGTTTTTTGATAGCGTGAGTACATAACATAATACAGGAAGGAAGAAGGATAGTTCTATATGGAAAAGGAATTTTTTCTAAATCACTTTTTTAAATTCTCTCTTTATAACCTTTCCTGATTTGCTTTGAGTTACCTTATAATGGGCATATATAGGCCTACCAAGAAACCATTTAGCATCTAGTTTCTATGAATCACTATTTAATACATGAATATACTAAAATACATACTTGAACAGAACATTCTAGGTACATATGATAGCATTGAATTTGAACATCCAGAAAAAACGAAGTTATCAGTTCCAGCAAAGTATTCCATACCCCAAAGAGCTGCACTTTTCACAAGAGGTGGCACAGGTATGTCCTCTTCTGATTTCCTCATGCTCCTGGTATGCGCAGAAGAAATTTAATGAGAAATCATACTGTCCAAAAGCTCAAGTCTCATATACTACAGCCTATAGCTTAGTTATTTTTTCATGATGAACACCCCTTATCTATATCATTTCATTAGGAGAAAGAAATATTTCCAAACAAATACAAAAGATACAAAGACACTTATTCATGGAAAACTACCATTAGCCAAGTTTTGCTAGCTTTTCAGTCAATTTTTTCCCCTTAATTGAAGTTTCCATATATTAGAACTTCCTTAGGCTGGAGCGTCCAGATCTAAATGAATATCTCTTTTTTGTTGGTACAATGAGGACGCGTGGGACTTTGTCCAGGTTAGCTCCACTCACACAATTTTAAAGGCAGGCTCCTCTAGTGCTTTTAGGATTTTATCCCTTGAAGTACTCTCCAAGAAATTGAACCCATGTTGATAAGGGAAGATACTATGGAAATATAAAATCATACCGCTTTGCAGTCATGATCAAATTTGCAATGCCTTGACCTATAATACCACATCCAAATCCAACAGCTCCATACAGTATGCCCTGAAATATCATCATGCATAAATAATTCAAAATCCCTCATAGTTTGTTCAACTTGTGAGATGACCTCACTGTTCATACCTTGAAGAAGTATGTTCCAATTCTCTGTTGTACCGAAAATTTACATCCTGGCCTTTCTGCTTCAAATACACTGCACAAAATTAGCAGTATATAGAAAATCAGAGTCCTCTTTATGCTCTGAAGCTCAATAAGCATTTGGGGGACACAAAGCATGACCTCCATGTCTTCCAACAGCCAATTTTGATATATCAATACACGGAAGTAACATTTCTTAAAACAAATTCATGTGGAAAATTAGGCCAATTTTGAGACATGATTTAAAAACCTGCTAGGTAAAGATGCATAAGCTTGCTGCATTCTTCCAAGTAGCCCCTTAGATATTGATGTTCTCCCCATTCGAACATAGGGTGCCAACATACCAACCAACGCAACATTAACCACCGTCCCAACCAGAAGATCTGCAACATACAACTCAAATTCGGACCAAAAATCTTTGCCTCTCTTTTGAACTTCAGCAACAGTAGCACAAGTAGAATCAATGACTATCTGTATACATGGAAGAGAAAATCCATATCCATAATTTTTTTTTTTTGGCAAATTTCAACAATCAAGAATACAAAAATGCTGTTAACTTAAGATGGAATGGCAATTGCAAAAAACAAATGAAGACATGCAAATAAAAAATATAAGCATATGGTAGATAGTATTAAACACTTTTGCATATAGAAATTTTGTTAACTTATTAAATTATGTCAGCACCACAAGTTGTTGTAATCAGGATAAATGAAAATGACCAAGAAGGGATCGATATGTCCTAGCTTACCGATCAAGTTAATATAAGATGTGTGGGAATATTATGTTATTATTGAGAATTATTAGCATTTATTAGGATCTCATTAATTAGGCTTTATTAGTATTTGTTAGCTTATGTTATTATTGAGAATTATTAGCATTTATTAGGATCTCATTAATGAGGCTTTATTATTATTTATTAGCTATTATCTCTCTTGATGTACATATATAGGACCAATGTGTACATTAGAATTGCAATGAGACAATACAATTTTTTCCTCTCTGAAAATTCCACATGGTATCAGAGCATCAGGCTCAAAATTTCAAATTAAATTAGTTCTGGAATGGCTAGAATGGGGCTGCCTGAACAGTACGTGACGGTGTTTGTGTGGACAATGGTGGAGCGAGTTTTGAATCTCACCACCACCCTAGACGTACTCAGGAGGCTCCGAATGGCGAAACCCAGGGCGGCGGCGGCGAACGGCGGCGCGTGTAGACCACACACGCCACCCCTGCTCACTGCGTCAGTAAACTTTCGGCGGCGCGTGGAGGCTCCGTTCAGGACGCGATCTTCTCGGACGGCAACAACGCACTCTCTCCGGCAAGATCCAACACAATCCGGTGTATGGGCACATCGTTTTCGAACCATATCAGGTCGTATGGTGTTGTTAGTGCCCTGTTTTGCTGGATTTGGAGTTATATTGGGTTGTGGCTTCTGTTTTCAGTCTACCAGAAAGCTTTTCCCTCATTTGAAGTGCTAGGGGTGGTGCTGTGGCTACTTTTATGTAGTGTTGTGCATAATTCCAGATCTGCACCCATGGCATTTGTGGCAAAAAGAGGGTCTTTCCTTCAGGCTTTAAAGACGACTCGAAGTGCAGTGGTCTGGATCGTGGATTCCGGGGCATCTGATCATATGACTAATTGTCATCAATTGTTCACCACTTACACCCCATGTGCTGGAAATATTAAAGTGAAAATTGCAGACGGCTCCTTAGCACCGGTGGCAGGAAAAGGGAGTATCCGTATATCAGATTCTATTACTTTGGAATCTGTCCTTCACGTGCCAAAACTTGACTGTAATTTACTTTCAATCAGTCAACTGACCAGGCACTCAAATTGTTTTGCTAAATTTCTCCCGTCACATTGTGTGTTTCAGGATCTATCATCTGGTGTGACAATCGGCAATGCCAAAGAATATGAGGGGCTCTACTATTTAGAGGTCGTCACTCGAGTAGATAACCCACCTATTGTTGGTAATTCTGCATCTACCTCTAAAGTTCATGATTTTATGTTATGGCATAAGAGAATGGGTCATCCCAATTTTCATTACCTTCAGCGGTTGTTTCCAAACTTATGCCCGACCTTGAACTATAGTGAAATCCAGTGTGAGGTATGTGAACTTGCCAAACACCATCGAACTTCCTTTCCTAGAGCTAAATACACACCTACCAAACCTTTCACAACCATCCACAGTGATTTGTGGGGACCATCTCGCACTTCAAACCGTACTCAAACAAAATGGTTCATCTCCTTCATTGATGACCACACTCGTGTTTGTTGGGTTTACCTTTTGAAAAACAAGTCCGAGGCTGCATCCACATTCATGAGTTTTTTCACCATGATCAAAAACCAATTCAACACTAGCATTCAAGTTTTACACACCAATAATGGCACTGAATACTTCAACCAATCTTTGAGTAATTTTCTCCAAATGCATGGGATTATCCATACCAGTACGTGTGCCCATACACCCCAACAAAATGGGGTCGCAGAAAGAAAAAATAGACATATCCTTAAAGTTGCAAGAGCACTCATGTTCACTTGCAACGTGCCAAAGTTTTATTGGGGAGATGCCATTTTAACCGCAACCTATCTCATCAACCGGATGCCCAGTCGAATATTAGCCTTCGAAACTCCACTCCAAAAATTGCAGAGTGTTTTTCCTACATCCCACATTGAAACCAAACTTCCGCTTCGTGTGTTTGGGTGCACAACCTTTGTTCATATCCACCAAAGCAGTAAACTTGAACCCCGAGCTATCAAGTGTATCTTCCTTGGCTATTCTCCTACTCAAAGAGGATATAAGTGCTTTGATCCTGTTTCTAAACGCATCCTTGTAAGCCTTGATGTTACTTTCTATGAAGAAACTCCTTTTTATTCCAATTCCTCAATTCAGGGGGAGAATATAGGTGAATCTCAGACTTGGGAACTAGAACCTAACGCTGAATATATACTTCTTGAGTCCGTGTCTCCTTTACTAGAACCATCACCCTTACCTTTGTCCAACATCCCACCTTCACCAACCTCTTCTCTTATGCCAAAGTTTGAGGAAAACAAGAAAACAGAGAAAGATGTGGAAAGACCACAAAAGGGGGAGTTGTTAGTTTACACTCGAAAGAAGAAAACAAAAGATAGTGAGCAACTTGTACCTGAGGCATCAAGAGAGTCAGAACCAGAGGTAGTCCCTGAAGCTGACGTACCAAAGATTGATCCATCTAGTAAGCCAGATGACTTAGAACAAAGATGTGAATCTACTGATCTTGATCTACCTATTGCCCTTCGAAAACAACCTCGGTCTTGTACTTTGCATCCGATTCAGAAGCATGTGTCCTACAAGGCTCTCTCTCCTGGTTACCGAGCCTTCATCACTAATTTGGATAAAGTTGTTATTCCTAACAACATCCAAGAAGCATTGGAAATACCAGAATGGAGAAATGCAGTTATGGAGGAAATGAAAGCTTTGGAGAAAAATGAAACATGGGAGATTGTTGAAAGACCTAGAGGTAAGAAACTAGTTAGTTGCAAGTAGGTCTTTACCCCAAAGTATAAGGCTGATAGCACACTTGACAAGTTGAAAGCACGGTTAGTAGCAAGAGGTTTCACCCAGACTTATGGCATAGACTACAAAGAGACGTTTGCGCCAGTGGCAAAACTGAACACTATAAGAATCTTATTGTCAGTGGCAGCCAACCTTGAATGGCGTCTTCATCAACTAGATATCAAAAATGCTTTTTTAAATGGAGAATTGAAGGAAGAAGTCTACATGACTTTACCTCCTGGGTTTGATAGAGGCAGAAAAGACAAAGTATGTCGGCTGAAAAAATCACTGTATGGCTTGAAACAGTCACCTAGGGCATGGTTTGACAGATTCTCAAAGGTCCTGAAGTTAGAAGGCTACAAGCAAGGATTGTCAGATCATACGATGTTTGTTAAGGCTGAGGGAGCTAAGAAGTGCATCCTCATTGTGTACGTTGATGATATAATCCTTACAGGAGATCATGTTGATGAAATAGCAAGGATAAAAACTATCCTTAGTAAGGAATTTGAAGTTAAGGATCTTGGGAACTTGAAATATTTTCTTGGGATGGAAGTTGCTAGGTCAAAACGAGGAATATATGTATCTCAGAGGAAGTATATACTTGATCTTCTCAAGGAAACTGGCATGTTGGGTTGTAAACCTAAGGAAACTCCTATTGTGATCTCGAAAAAGAAGAGGCCACCTAAGAAAAGCGGCACTGAGGAGTTAGAAGGAGAAGACAACTCTGATAATGAAGTTGAAGAAGAAGAAGACAAGGAGAAAGAAGAAACCATTGATAAAGACAGATATCAAAGACTGGTTGGGAAGCTGATTTATTTATCCCATACAAGGCCAGATATTGCTTTTGCTGTCAGTGTAGTAAGTCAATACATGTGTGATCCAAGGAAGAGACACCTGGAAGCTGTATATAGGATTCTCAGATACCTTAAGGGTACACCTGGTAAGGGATTGTTATTCAAGAAGCATGATCAAAGGACAATTGAGATTTACACCGATGCAGACTGGGGGGGACTTATGGAGACAGGAGATCCACCTCTGGCTATTGTTCATTTGTGTGGGGAAACTTGGTAACCTGGAAAAGTCAAAAGCAAAGAGTTGTATCCAGAAGCAGTGCTGAATCAGAATTGAGAGCATTAGCTCAAGGAATTACAGAAGAACTATGGATAAGAAGGGTCATGGAAGAAATAGAAGTCAGAGTTGATCCACCAATGAAATTGTATTGTGATAATAAGGCTGCTATAAGCATGGCATTGAATCCTGTACAGCATGAGAGATCTAAACATGTTGAAGTGGATAGACATTTTATCAGAGAGAAAGTAGAAGGAGGTATTGTATGTCTGACATACCTACCTACAAAGTTACAAGCTGCGGATGTACTAACCAAGGGACTACCCAAGCCTGCATTTGAGAGTTGTATAAGCAAGTTGGACATGATTAGCATCTATGATCCAACTTGAGGGGGAGTGTGGGAATATTATGTTATTATTGAGAATTATTAGCATTTATTAGGATCTCATTAATTAGGCTTTATTAGTATTTGTTAGCTTATGTTATTATTGAGAATTATTAGCATTTATTAGGATCTCATTAATTAGGCTTTATTAGTATTTATTAGCTATTATCTCTCTTGATGCATATATATAGGACCAATGTGTACATTAGAATTGCAATGAGACAATACAATTTTTTCCTCTCTGAAAATTCCACAAGATGAATGATAATAGTGATCAAATGATGCCATATTTTACAACACCATTAAACAACAGGAAGACTTAAAGATTCTCTGATGCTATGACATAAAATATGAACAATTCTGAATCAATATTACATAAAGAGGAGCCCAACCAACCTCTGAAAAGATTTTGAACAGAAAAGATGGATCAGCCAGCATTCTATTTCGTAGAAGAGAACATGATTTCATAGCAAAGCCTAGCGGCCAGATAGATCCCTGCAATTTAAATATCATTAATTAGCAATACTAAAAGCCAAAAGTAATAGTAGTCTTGATATACATGAGTTGGTATCAGTAATTCATTACAGATTAGACACAAGATTACAAGAAAAGGGAAATAAATGCATGGAATCCAAAACTATACCTGCAGATCCAAATATCTAAGGAGAAGAACCTCGCGAATTCCTACACTCTTTGCAGTCTCTAACATATCTGAAGGAAGGGTAGCACCACGTGCTTCTGTCTCTCTCATTACCTCATCATATTTCAATACCGGCCCAAACTCCTCCTCTTCTTCATCACCATTACCACCACCACCACCACCTCCTCCTCCTCCACCTCCACTTCCAAAGCTCCCGTAACCACCACTACCATCATACATGACTCCATTATTGTCAAATCCATCAGTTTTAGAGTCAGACCCATTATCCAAAACATTTTCGCCTCCCCCTTCTGAATTTATTGTAGTTACAGTGAATTGGGACTCAGCTGGTTGCTGTGACATACTCATTATCACAATTCTTTCTGTCTTTTGCAAAGAGACATGCCCACGGCACTCATTTCCACATAAGACAGGAAAAGTGGCACACTTTAACACATTCCTGAAACTCAAGTTATTTGAACTTAAGCTTTGATTTCCCAGCCTCCTCAAAACAGCTTCTCTACTCACATTAAGAACGTGTGACACACCAAAATTTGAACAGCAACCCATAATTATCTTATAACTCCGTAACTTCTCTAAAAAAAAGAACGACTCAGATAAATGGAGAAATATGTAGTTTTCTGCTAATCAACCCCAGGAAACTATCAGCTGTAAGCTACCTAACCAGCAAAAAACAAACAAAACATGACAAGCAAATCAACATAATGGTATAGCATCCAACCAATAAATGTAATTAGTAATGTTCCTAAAATCAGCAAGGGCTTTCTAGCAATGTAATCGTTGGATCAAAATTTGTTAAGGAATGAGAGAAGAAAATGCCCCAGAAAATGAAAAGGGAAAAAAGAGATTCCGTATACGCCTTGGCTGGGACTGAGAACAATGCTGAGAGCTAACAAGCTGATCCTATAGAGATGGGAAGGGTATGCGAGAAAGTAGGACACCAAATCAACACAGGACACAATACTCAACCAATTAAATGCATGCTTCTGGAATTGCTTTTACAGGTAGCTACTGTTTTCTAGCAATGTAATCGTTAGCTTTAAGCTTTGAGCCTTAAACTTCAGGGAGAGAGAAAGGAAAATAGTTCAAACAATGGAGAAGGGGCAGTGAAACATTCGGAATCTACCTTTGCAGGGACCAAGGAAAAAGCAGAGCTTTCTAGTTAGTGATCCTACAGTAATGGCAAGGATATAAGCATAATGAGAAAGAAGATGGTGGGAAGAAGCGGCGGAGCAAGGAGGGGTGACTGCGGATACAACAAGAGTGAAGAGACTGGGTTTTGGTTGCGTGTGGGTTGTGCATAAACACGCAGAACATGGAGGTGATTAGTGGGGTACTATTGGCTGAGATATTTCGCAAATGAGTTTTCTTTTTGAGTACATCCTAATTCCTAATGTTAAGCGAGTTCGTCTAAATTGAGTGCATTATTGGTTTACTTTATCGTATAGTGGCCAGAAGCAGCAGAACTAGAAATGGAATCTAATATGGTTTGAAAAAGAAAATCCTAATTAACTAGTAATACCTTCTCAGAGCAAAAGGCTGAAAACTGAAAAGTACACTCCGTCTCCACTGTTTGTTTAAAGGGAAAATAGAAAACGTGCTCGCATGAATCATTATTAATTTAAAATAAGTTATTATTAAAATTTAAATAAATACTTATTACTAAAAAATTAATTTAAATTAATAAGTATTTATTTTATTTGAGTTTTGATAATAAATAATCCTTAACTGATATAAGTTTCTTCAAACATTCCTTGATTAATATTTTCCCTTGTTTAAAAGACATGTAGTTGTAATAGATCAATTCAATAATAGTTGGATACTCAAATAAATTTATTTTAAAAATAATTACAAATATCATAATTGTAAATTTGAGAGTCTCATCTCTAGATAAAATATATAAGTTTTAAATATAATACTCATTTTACAACTAAAATTATCCTTTATCTAAAATGATATTTATATTTTTTTTTTTTTTTGGAGAATTAGTTAGGGAGAAATTCAGTTAGGCCCTCAGAAGCGAAACATATGTATCAAAGGTCTAAAGGAATCTAAAATTTCTTTGCACACAAGCCCAAAGCCCTTAATGTTTTTTTTTTTTTTTGTTGTTGAAATAACGCAAATGTTCTTGCCCTTTATTTTGAAAAAAGAAAAGAAAAAGAAACATACGAACATGATTTATGCATACACAAAAAAACTGTCAATATTTAAAACCTAATTTATTCAATTTTCTTAATAACTTGTTCATGTAATATTATATTAACAAGTTATCAATATTATGCTATATAAAAAACATATGTTATAAATATATTTTTTAAATATTTTCACGAGCTTTGATTAATCATAGACATATTGTTGTTCATATTTAAATAATTATTTGTAAATATACATGACAATTTTTTTATGTATAAACCAATCATGTTAAAGTATTTACAAGTGATTATTCAGATAAGAACAATAATGTGCCCAATATTCATAAAAATTTATAAAAATGCTTGAAAAATAAAGTTATAATATATTTTTTATTTAGCATAATATTAAAGGAACAAGTTGTTAAAAAAATTGAACAAGTTCGGTTTTAAACATTGACAAATTTTTTGTGTATGAATAAGTCATATTTGAATATTTATAAGTAATTGTTTGAATATAAATAACAATGTGTTCATGATAAACTAAAGCCTATGAAAATACTTAAAAAACAAATTTATAACTTGTAAATTTTTTATTTAGCATAATATCAATAATTTATCAATATTGAAAGAATAAGTTGTTAAAAAGTTTGAACAAGTTTAAAAAATTGGCTACTTTTTTTATGTATGACCAAGTAATATTTAAATATTTACAAATGATTGTTCGGATGTGAACATTAATGTGTCAATAATTAACCAAAGCTCGTGAAAATAGTTATTAAAATTTATAATATATAATTTTTATTTAACCTAATATTGATAACCTGTTAATATTAAAGGAATAAGTTGTTAAGAAAATTTTACAAGTTAATTTTTAAAAATTGACAACTTTTTTTTTGTGTTTGAATAAGTCATATTCGAATAGTCACAAGTGATTGTTCTTATATGAACAAGAATAATAAGATATCCATAATTAACAGCAATTTACATAAGTGCTCAAAAACAAAAGTTTTAATAATATACAATATATATATATATATATATTATATTTTCTAATATGTAATCAGAAGGCTTTGGTAGTCTAGCAATAAACTACTTTTTGCAACGCCAAAAGTTCAAATCTCCCCTTGATCCATTTGACCGAATTTAACCATGGACATAGGGTTTTAACAATCAGTGGTAGTAAGATGGTCACCAGTAGTGGCGGCATCCTTATTGGTGACAGAGCTCTAACAACTAGTGATAACAACAACTTAAAAAAAAAAAAAAACCCAAGGGCACTTGCATCATTTCAGCCAAAAAAAAAAAAAACATGCAGGGCTTTTAGACTTGCACAAAAATTTCATATTCCTTTGAACTTTGAATGCATATATCTCGCTTTTGAGAGCGCTAACTGAAATTCTCCCAACTAACTATCATTAAATCAATTTCTGAAGTACTAACTTAAATTGTCTAAATTGCCACTCCCAAGACAATATTTTAAAAGCAAGTTGTTAATATTTTAAGGAAAAATTACATTCAAAGACCATCCAAGAAACTTATTTGCATACAAGGACTAATAACAAGTCTTATCTAAGAAAAAAATAAATTCATGTTCCCATTTCAATAACAATACATTTTATATTAGTCCCTATTTGCAAATAAATTTTTGAGTGGTTCCTGATTGTAATTCTTTCCATTTAAAAGCAAGTAGTGATTCAAGTTTTTGACAAATTGTAGTGTGAATTTTGACAAAAAAAAAATTTAAATGGTTTTAAATGTTGATGAATTTTTCTTAACATATTTACAGGTTGTCGTTTGGATTTTAACAATTTGTTCTTTAAACATTGAAAAGGTGTGTCTTTGGTTTTTGATAAGGTTCTTTAAATAATCTTTGGATATTGACAACTTATTTTTAGAATATTAATAATTTATAAATCCAATTTTAATAAAGAACTTGTTTGAAATTATTTTTATTTTATTATTTTAAAAACTGGTGTGTTGTAAAACATGTTTTGAGAATAAAAAATAATAAAAAAAATGTTTTTTTTTTTTTTTATTCTCCAAAACAATTATCTCATAACAATTAAAAGATATTTTCTTTTTTTATTCTCTAAATAATATTTTATTTTTTATTCTTTCAAATACTTTTTAAAAACACGTTATCAAATAAATTTTTTTTATTTTTATTTTAGATAATAAAAAATTATTTTCATAAAAAGTTGTCAAACAAGCGCTTAAATTCTCCAATATATATAAAAGTTGTTCTTTAACTACAAATGATAGTTCGGATTTTAACAAGGCTTTTTAAATGATCTTTCAATATTGATGCAAAATGACAGTTTAAAATATTTCATTTCCTTTAATATCTACACATAATTTATGAAACTTGTTATTAAATCAATGATAAAGTCTTTTCAAGAAAAAATTTAAATATTAAATGTTAAATTATCCTTTTCACATATAAATAAATAAGGTTATTCTATTTTTCATTAAGTGTGATCTATCACAAAACTGTTTGCTAAATCAATATCAAATACAAAATAGGTTAAAATATACTTTTTATTCTTTAACTTTATATAAAGTTTTAACTAGCAATACACCCATGTGATGCACGGGATATTCTTAATTTTTATATAAATTAATATTAAATAAAAATTTAAATATTATGCAATGTGTGTTTATATAATTAGTAAATAGAGAATTTAGTACAAGTATATTATATAATTGGGATATTAAAACTTGTCAACTATCAATAATAGGCATTGGTCCTAGTGAAATGGGCTATATTGTCATTTAAGCATGAGGTCTCGAGTTTGAATTTATATGAATGTATAAAATGTTTTTGTGAGAATTACTCCTAATTAATCCGACAAGGCTTAAATTTAATCTAATCAAATAGTCATATAAAATAAAAACTTGTCAATTGTCATTTACCATTTGTTGCCAAAAAAAATTATCATTTACCATCATCTAATATATTTATAGTACAGCATATAAATACATTAAAATGTATCTCTCATGGTTACTTTTTTTCCTTTTTAAGCATAGTACCTGCATGATAAAAGTAATGATTTGAATATTATGAAATGGGATTATGATAATCATATCCCATATCCAATTATGAAAAAGGATAAAGATTGAATTTTTATTTCATCCTTCCCATTTGAAATCGAGACAAGATAGGGGAAAAAATATAGTTAAATTTGAATATACAATAGAAACACTTTATGCATAGTAGATTTGTTTTACAATGCATATATTTTTGTTAACTCATCACAAGTCAACAAGCATTTTTATCAACTAAATTGACCATGTCCTATGTCTTTCATTATTCATGCCATCTATATATTCTAATTTAATATCACACGAGGTACTAAAATTTATACATTATTATTAATCAAGAGCAAGCTTCATCTTTTAGAACTGGTGATATAGGTTGAGCTCACTAACTAATCAAAAGGTGACAAGTTTGGGTTGGGTAAATGAAAGCTTAATTAGTCATTTTCAGCTTCACGCAGCTAACTTACCAATGGGTTAGCTCATTTTTCTTTCTTTATTTTGTATTTAAAATTTCAATCTACTAACACAAATCTTCCCTTCTTTGGTCCCTCCTCCCAAAATTCCTAAAATCAAAGTACCTTATCCCTCTTTCCTCCTCTAGATATGTGTTTTATAAACAACCAATGTTTGTTTTTTAATACAATCTATTATTTTTTTAAGTTATAAGAACAATGGAAAAATCATTGTTATTTGAAACTTTGAATAAAATCCACATTTTCTTTTCTTTTTGTTAATATGATATCATTTTTCAAGTTATTATCATAATAAGTTTTCTCAACATTGTCTCTGCTACCAATAATGGTTAACTTTATTTTAAAATCCCACATTGTTCAAGTTAAAAATAAACAAACTAATTTATTGAATATAATTAATTTAAAAAATATTTTTTATTTAGAAAATATTTTATTAATATTTGGATAATCAATTTACAAAGAAAGATTAGATTCCATTCATTTTAAAAAAAATGAATTAAAAATAAAAGTAAAGAAACAAAAAAACAAAAAGGTTGGCTGGCAAGTAAGTAACCTACCAACCTGCCTCTAGTGGTGTGGGGTGGAAAAATTATAGCCCATGACTTGTCACAAGCCAACCTACAACTTATAAGTTGGTTTGTGTTTCCAACTTCATCTTCTTTCAATGTTAGGATATCCTATCCCATCCTAAATTTTATACAAATTAATAT